AGTCCATTAGTTACACATGCCAAAGAAATAATTAATCCAATTCTTAATGAAATATCTTAATGAGAAATCTATTTTAACTTTAAATAACTGCACAGATGCCAAGTTCATGAACTGCGGAAACGGCCAAGAGTTCCAAAAATAAAAATTATAAATATATCATCACAGAGAACCTTCATGTGCTCTCTTAACGTGTGATATTACGCTAGCATTTATTTTTAAAAAGTATATTATAAAGTATACAATATAAACTGGGCACCATTGTGACATTTCTCATTTAACATAATAATCTCTATAATTTTGTTATTATGAAAATTAGCTGGAAGATACATTTTAATATAGTAAAGTATAAATTTGACTACATATAAGTACTAATATTTTGTCCATAAGTAATAGGGAAAAATTAGAAAAAAATAAAATAAAAATGTTACAACCAATCACAACCCAGCGACAGTTGTGACAGTGCTTGGGGTCGGGAGTGGCAGGTTCAAAATAGACTAAAGTGGTCTAAAATTACTTGTATTGTATTTTATAACAAAATAAATAAAATTTAGAAACATTTTAATTCCTTTTGACTAATCAAGCACTGTATCTTATATTATAGTTATTATACCATTCATCATATCACAATCTAATCGCATATAATTGTAATTAATATCTATAATTATTATAAAGGAAGGAGATGGTCCGGGGTGGCGGCCATAAATAGGCTAAATAGTGGTAAAACTATTTTATTGAAAGACGGCGTTTCGACCCGACTTTGCAGGTCTTCTTCAGGGAGGTGTGTTTAACTTAAGAGTTTCAGCTAAGCTCACCTCCCTGAAGAAGACCTGCAAAGTCGGGTCGAAACGTCGTCTTTCAATAAAATAGTTTTACCACTATTTAGCCTATTTATGACTGCCACCCCGGACCTCCTCCTTCCTTTATAATGCAACGGTCAACTATTAAATATTCAATAGAATTATTATAACATTATCGTATTGTAATCAATCATAAAAGTTAACTAAACATTTCTAGTTATACATTATGGTATATGTATCAGAAAAGGAAAAACTATATAAATAAATATTATATAAAAATCAGTAAAACAAAAAATCTTCTTAAAAAAAAATAAAATAAACTTTTGTATAAGAATCAAAACTAGGTATTCCTCAAGAACTGTCTGGGTAACAAACAGCAAAAATAAAATTGAGGGAGAGAGAGATTTCAAATCCTCGATTGTTCCGAGGTGTATTGACTCAGAGTACAACCTTCTTGAAAGAGTTCTACAAACATTTTCGATAATGTTTAGGCCTGGAGAAACAGCAGGCCAGTCTAATTTGACAATTTTGTTGCGAGTAAATCAGTCTTTAATAATCTTTGCTGAATGCATTGGAGAGTTATCTTGAGGAAAAACTGGTGTGCTTTCATGTCATTAAAAGTAAACTTTTGTTCCTCTAACAAATTTTTAAATTCAGCTGAGTTTACTCTTGATGAAACAAATACCAAATTTCCTTTCTTTTTGTAACTAATTGATGCCCTAATCTTTTAACTTTTCAACAAACCATAACTTTTCCTTCTCCCATTTGACGTATTGATAATTTTTTTTTTCTTCTTTTCTTAAGTCATGAAAATAATACGAAAATCTGGCCCATCCAGATAGAATTTTTTTCATCACTAAATATGACTTTCTTCCACTCCTCAGTCTATGACATCACATTACGAGCAAAGGCCATCCGGCATAATTTGTGACGGGTACTCGAAACCGGCTATCTTTTCAATTTTTTTCTAACTATTGTTTTTGACTTTTTTAAAAATAATCTTTGAACATTCCTTAGTTTTGTTTGAATTCTAGCTTCCTCAGCAAATTGCTTTTGCTGTTTTATAAGAGTTGGATGCGATCAGAAGAATATACCGTTTCTCTCGTAATGTCAAAGCAGGGGGCCTCCCAGTAGAACGGTATCCCCAAAAGCTTACTGTGAAGCAATTCATAATTACTTAATGTTTTTTTTTTTTCAGTTATCACTTTCTTTTCAACAAAAAATGAGACACATTTAAAAATCACTAAAAATTTTCATTGTCGAAAGTAAAATTGAGTACAAATCAAATCTTTCGTGTTGAAAAATTCATCAATCAGTTACTATTAAAGAAAGTTAAATATTCTGCTATATCAGTAAGAGGGAAAATAAACAGCATTAAAAAAAATATTACACTGTAACAAAATGTTATGCTAACGTGTTGAATTGTGCTACACGCTTGTACACAAACTCTAGCGAAATGTGAAAACATGTACATGGATTGTTTAGACTTTGTTATGTTTACACAATTTGGTCACATTTTCCTCGTTAGTTAATAAATACGGTTGACCTTGTTGGAGTTGTTGCCTGGGTATTTATAATTGTGGACTAGGAAACTAAGGCGTGAAATTATAATTTCTGTGTTTATTATCTCTTTCTAATTGTTGTGTATTTTTTATCTTTTACAATTTTGATAAATACTAGATTTTTCCTAAATAGTAGGTAATGCATGCATTTACAACACAAATATCTGTATTATTGAAATAAACAATGCTATGAATTTTATATTTTAATTTATTTGAATTTTTATTACTTTCCTATAAATAATTTATTAAAATATACAACTGCATATACAAAATCTAGTGCTCGCAACACATAACTTTCACTTATCGCTCAACTTTGAATATAAATCATTTTCTGTCCATATTGGACTATTATAAAATTTTTGAAAGGTAAATTCTTACAGCTAACAAATCATAAATATTATTTAAATAACAAAAGTTCGATTTATTATATCACCTGTTGATTATGGGTTGTACGATCCGTTGATTATGGATTGCAGAACTATTAATTATAAAACTGTTATTTTCCATTGCAAACTTTACTAAAATAGAATTAACAGATTTGCATTGTCTGTCACAGACAGGTCAAAAGTTGTCGCACTAATTAGAAGTGGATATTGTTGGAATATCACAAAGAGGAAATTAATCAAATTATTCATTAATTTAGTTTTTGAAAAGTTACATCACGATTTATCGGAATAAACGGACGTCGATACCTAATAATTTAAATATAATATCAGATCTTTAAAATTATTAAACTACAGAAAATGTTTAATTAAACTACATCCATGAAATTTTTATAATATTTTTATTGAGAAAAAAAAATACAGTTTGCCTCAATCAAGCCAAAAAAATCCACCTTAAAAAATAAAAGAAAAACAAGATTATAACAAAATAAAATAAAATAAAACTCGGAGTAACAGAATAAATCAAACATGATACAACATTAAATAAAAAAATTTAAAAATATATATAAAAGAAAAAATATATATAAATAAAAAAAATATAAATAAAAAAATATTGAATAAAAAAATATATAAATAAAAAAATATGTAAAAAAAATTTATATAATTAAAAGAAAAATATCATCCATGAAATAATTTTATATCTCACTTCTTCTTTCACACAAGTAGGATGAAATATTTTTTTAAACAACGTCATTGCCATGATTAGGTGGATTTTAAATACTTTCTCAAACTTAAAAATATTTTAAAAGTTTACATTTACTTAGTAAATTTCATTTAATTTCCTTGAAAACATGTGATTAACGTTAAATAATATTAGTTTTCAAAATTTATTATTTATAATTTTTTTGCCACTGTCTGTTACGTTCGACTACTTTCTATATTAGGTATTGTTTTTTCCTAAAATTCTCCGTTTTCCAACAATATATTATAAGTATACGTTCTGAGCAGTATTTCTGAAGATTAATTATCGATCTGGATAAGCTTTTTTCATTTTTTCTCCGTTATCAAATTTACTCAATTATCAAATTCTTTCAAAAGATATATTTAGAATTTTTTCGTAACTCTAAATAATGTGAAATGATTAATTAAATAAAATAAACCATACTAAAAGTGCTTTAGAGGAAGACGTATATGAATATTCGGCATTTAGTCCTGTAAAGTGACATCAATAGAAATAAGAACTAATTGATATTAAAGACCACTTAATTATACAATGATACACCGAGTTTAATCAAAATCGTTAGAGCCGTTTTTGAGAAAATTGTAAAAATGTGTTTCAGCGCTGTTTATAAAGTGGCACTTCCGGTAAGCCGATTTTTAGGAAAACGTTGCTGTCTCGACTAAAACATATAGCTATCTTAAATACATAATATCAGTTTCGTACGACATAAAAACACACAGACACTCAGACCTTTTTTCGGGACTTGGTTCTTTGGACTGAGGATACCTCAAAATGTGTATTTTCGTTGAAAACTCGATATTCTTCAAGATCGCAATACTTACCCTTACTTTACTTTAATTAAGGGGATCGCGTGTCCATCTTCTGTTTAGATGTAACGCAGTGTTGTCAAGAATAATTTTGGGATAAGAGAAAGGATTAAATGATCTAGTCCTCTAGGAATTTCCGATTACAAAAGAAATATATATTTAAAGACAATATGCAACAAATAGAAAATTGAGGCCATTATAAATAATTTTAATTGTGATCTAAAAAAGACCATTTACAAAGGATTTTCGATTCTATGGATTGGATAACGGAAAAAATCGGTGGATTTCAATTTTTATTTTGGTTTGATATCCACAAAATGACCATAGTTACAGGCATTTTTCCAATAATTTAATTTTTTTGAAAATACAGTATTAAACCCTCAAATAAATATGGAATACCTGGTAAAAAAAGTATAAAAATTAAAAATGTCTAGCAACAAAATTAATTCAATTTGGTTGCTTTCAAATAGATTGACCAAAACAACTGTTGATTGATCAAACAACTGTAGAGCACATAATTGTCATAAATTACAATTATCTTTTATGTTTATTTAGCTTTTCATTAAAAAAATAAAACTATTTTTTACTGAAAATATGGTGCTAATGAAGGTTGTTCGATACATCGAACAAGATTTTTTTTTCTGAAGGATACATATTTTTAATTGATAATATTGTTTATTATATATTTAATACATATGTTTTCCTTCTAGGCCAGCTTTCGGTGATGGTAGTAGGCGTGGCTTATTGCTGGTTCGAGCCAATCACGATCCGGCTCGCAAACGACCCCGACCTGGGCTTCAGCGCTGATGACGTATCCTGGTTGATTTCCATCATGGAGATCGGCTGTTTGATCAGTCCGTTAGTGTCAGGCGATCTGACTAACAGGTAAAACTTAGCGATATGTTAAAATGAAATCATCTAACTTCATGATCAAGATCTAACTAAGTCCACAACATAGATTAAGTCGGAAATGTTTCTTTCCAAATTTTAATCACACACCTTTTGGAATCTAGTCAGTAATAAATCAAGCTTATTATATTTTCCGTTTAGTTTCTAATTTTTTTTTTTTTTTTATAAATTGCTCATTTCATTATTTTAATCCTTGCAGAATTCAAATTAGACAACACTCTGACTCTCACAGCCGAACCCAGTAATAAGAATAGTTAAATGATAATATTGAGTGTATGTAAGATCGAGCTTGGCTAAATTTATACTGAATATTTATATATATATATATATATATATATATATATATATATATATATATATATATATATATTTCTTTGATAGGCCAAGTAGGTGGTTTAAAAATCTTTTAATATTTCTTTTTTTTTTTTTTTTATCACAGATAGCGAGGAGAGGGTCACCTAGCCTCACATTGCTGCGAATCGTAGTCTCTATAGTTCAGTGGCAGGCCACACCGTAGCTCTAATGTCGATCCAATAGGGACCAATCTGAAGGTGTTCTTCCTGCTTTCTCACTCGGATTCAAAAACATCGATAATTTGAAATAGAAATAGAAAATAACTTTATTCTGGGACAAAGTCCCCTTATAATAACAAAATAGAACATAATTAAAATACTACATCTTGCCAAAATAAAACAATAATAAAAACGAGAATGTAAAGAAAATATTAGTTAAAAAAGCTATGTACAAAAAAAAAATCTATATACAAAACACTTAAAACTGTGATAAAACACTTAAGACTATGTACAGTAGGAAAAGTTATAATTATACTCTTTTGAAAAATAAAATAATAAAAAATACATTGAGTTTTTCTTTAAAGGTGTGTTTCTACTAACAAAGAAAGACAAAGCTGACAATATAAAATATCAGTGTCTTTAAATAATGATTAATATGTAGACTCATCATTGTCAAATGCTAGAGGTACAGATTTAATTATATCCCAATAAAAAATAATAATAAATATAAAAATTAAAAAACAAACATGCGGTCAGTGGCATTCAGAGCCTGAAGATATTGTAATATCGCTAGTGAAGTTCATAGTATAGAATAGCACTATCGTTTGATGATGACTAGAAATGTATAATATCGAAAGTTTAGCAAGTATCTGACTGTTTTTGGGATCATAATTGGAATAGGAGGGATTTGAATGTGGATATGGAGGAGGAATTTTGATAGGTAGAGAATTCCAGAAATTGACAGCGCGAGCTATAAAGGAATTCTGAAATGAGGCAAATCTGTGCGAAGGGATGTAGAGGTCAGAAGGTCGAGATCTTGTTGAAAGGGAATGGACTGAGGACTTGAATTGGAGAAGGTTGTAGGCGTAAGAAGGACGATGGTTGTTAATGATTTGATAGAGGAACGTACCTAGGAAATATTGTCTTCTAAAGGAGGGGAAGAGCCACCTTAACTCAGTGTAGTGGTGAGAGACATGGGAGTACCTCGGGGCACCGATAACAAATCTTACGCAGTTATTCATTGATCTTTTCTGTTAATTCGTTCTAGTTTCGTTTATTACGGCTGTAAAGAGTTAACAAGTAGACTAGAATCTATATTTCTATGAACATAACCTTTCGGAACTACTAACATCCTGGAAAAACCCAACATTGAATTATTTGCATGATTAAAGTATATGAGTTAGGGTCACCAATCCGATCAGTTTGAGTAGCCTCCACTATGCTGACGGACCTCGCATACTTTAGAGAGAACAGAAATCTCTATTAATATCATAATGTTTATTCCTGAGTATCCTAATGGATGATTGATGTTATAAATGTAATTGGATTGTTATTGTTATAGGATTGGCCGAAAGTACGTGATCTTAAGCATAGGCCCTCTCTGCCTAGTGGGATGGATTTTGGTACTCTTCTCCAAGACGATGGTGTCTCTTGTGATAGTCCGGATTCTGCATGGTCTGGCGACGGGAGTCGCCTTCACCATCACGCCAATCTACACCGCAGAAGTCGCAGAACCCAAATTAAGAGGGAGGCTATCGGGAACCTTCCAAACCACATGGTACATGGGGACACTGTATGCATTCTCCATCGGTCCATACTTCAGCTATGATGTATACACCTATATCTGTATTCCTCTTCCAATATTATTCACCATAGTATGGATGATGATGCCTGAGACTCCTTACTATCTGTTAATGTCAAAACGAGAAGACGAAGCAAGAAAAGTACTAAAATATTTCAGAGATGGTGATGATATCGAAAAAGAACTCGAGGATATGCAGAAAGCAGTAAAAGAAGAGATGGCTGTCGAAGGTTCTTGGAAGATACTCTTCACCGACAAGACCGAGAGAAAAGCTTTCATAATCGTACAAATCGTCTCTATCACCAAGTTCCTCACTGGGATGCCAGTCATTGTGAACTACGCTTTGGACACTTTCACCAGGAGTGAAACGTTCCTCTCAGCTGAAGTAATGTCCATTATACTCGCTGTACTCCTCACCTTGATCGCTGTGATTTCCGCCTTCATGTCCGACTGGATAGGTCGAAAACCATTGTTGCTGGTGTCTTGCTTCGGTTGCTTCGTCGCTCACTTCCTCACTGGAGGATATTACTACATCCACGAGAAGACAACCCTTGAAGGCGGAAACTACACTTGGGCGCTCTATGTCGGATTGGTAATGTACTGCTTCTTCTCCGACATCGGACTAGGACCATTACTGCAAACTCTTCAATCCGAAATGTTCGGGGCAAGTACAAGAGGAGTCGCAGGCGGTATCACAGAAGGTTTTGCAGCTTTCTTGTGCTTCGTAGTACTCAAGCTGTACACCCCTGTAAACGAGGTTTTTGGAGTTTACATGAATTTTTGGTTCTACAGCTTTACTGGATTAATAGGAGGGCTTCTTTTGGTTTGGCTTATGTACGAAACAGCTGGAAAGACAATCGGTCAAATGGAGGATTCACCAAAGAAAAACGTACTGGCTTGAATGGAAATTAATACTCTTTTTTACCAAAGTATTTTATTCAGCTTAAATTTTATAAGGTTTTCAAAGATAATAAACTATTTTTTATAAGAAATTGAGTATGTTTTTTTTTTCAAACCATTTATTTTATTCTTCTATTATATCATACTAGTTGGTCCGTGCGAAAAATTCGCAGATAATTTCGTTTAGTGGAGAAATATTAAAACAATATGGAAATAAGTAGTATTACGTAAGGAAGGAATTAATATTTTTTTCCTAGTCGATTACAATATTCCATTAAACATAATAGACCAAAATATTTTTATAAATTGTTTTGCTAGAACCTATTTTTAAACGCTGGCTGGAAAGATAATAAAAGTTATAAAGGCAAAATAATGCCCGGTCATAGGATATTCTAAATTCTTAAAAAAAAATAAAATCTAAAAAAAACCTAATGTCTTTAAGAAATAATAAAGTTAATATAAAAGCAAGGAAAAACTGTAATAAAAAAACTGTAACCTCGATGTCAAAAGTGTAACCAATCACTAACTATAAAACATATTTTGGAAGAATGCCCTTTTTACACCGCAAGATTAAAAGATTTTGGAATACCACAGAATATATCAGCATCCCTGGGAAATCAAGAAGAAATAGTTACCAAAGTCATCAAGTTTCTGGGTAGTGAAAGACTTAAAAAAACACATTTGACAGGCTTTTTTTTATTTATTTTTTTATTTATTAATTTTCTTTTTATCTATTTATTTTTATTATATTTTCTCTTATTATTATTTTTTTTTCACTTGATTTCATTTCATTTTAAATTCATTTGTTTATTAATCTCAATTCATTTATTGATTCTACTGCTATTTTTTAAAGTTTATTTATTTATACAATTTTTATACATCTTATTACCTATAAATGTCTATTATTATCCTTACTTATTTATTTTATTCTATCAATCCATTTCTTTATTTATTTTTATTTTATTTTATTTATTTTTTTTTTTTTTGTACCAATCATCCAAATAGTATTAAATGATGTTATTTTAGTTGATCGGGCGCTTATGACCTGGATGTTTTGAGACTAGACATCGAAACAAACAAACTCCTGTTCTACTCCTAAATGCAATATCTTTAAACAGGAAGACATTATTGACCTTATCAAAGCTAATGGACTGTATCTTTGTTAATAATTGTCCGAATTTTACGATTTCTTTTTGTTTTGTAGGTAATTTAGTAATCTTTCTAATCATCATGCTTATTGAGTTATTCGCAAATAAAGTTTCTTTTCTTCCGTAACTTTTTTCCAGAAATTTCGGGGGGATGGGACTATTTTTTGCATGTGAAGGAGAAGAATATCTTCAAAATGAGTGGTCAATCATTGGATTTGGTGAAGAATGACAAAAAAAAAACACCTTTTAGAAATAATATATAGGATTGTTATTATTATTATTATTTTTGTTTTTTTTTTTACGAAATTTCATTATTGAGGTATATTACAATCTTTCACATTCAAGGACAATAGTGATAAAGAGTAGCTCATTCATACTATGCACAATAAATAAATATAATAATACTAAAAGTAAATGTATATGAACTAAAAGATACTAAACTAAACAAAAATAAACTAATCTAACAAAATAAATACTTAAATACACATATGCTTTTATACGATATTTACAATATTTATTCACTCAAGATCTCCGAGCCAAGCCTTTTCCCACACTCATGGAGGGAAAGGTAGGTCTCTAGGAGATCTCAGCGTCTTTCACTCAGTCACATAAATGGTTTTACCAATGGAGGATGAGCAGATACACTATAACCAGACATATATGGCTTGAGTGGAGAATCTGGCCATTGCCAGAATTCAGATATATTTTTACAAGTTTCTGGGCCACTGCCGCTTCAACCTTCGAGGATTGTTGGGATGAGGAGTGCTAGAGAGGGATTGGGAAATTGGATTTGGATGATATGTGAGGTTTTGTATACTTTTTGAGGGATAAGGTCTAGGACCAATGGGATATTAAGGTCATGGAGTAGGGTTTAGTTAGTTACATACAATGGAGCATCAACTATTGGTTAGGGGTCGAAGGACTTTGGACTGAAAGGAATGAATGCGTTTGATATTAGAAATTCTGCAGTCCCCCACAGTTCCAGTCCTTAGGTCCAAATAAGTTTCAGTATTGTCTTGTAGATCAGTAGTTTGTTGTCAATTGAAAGTTAAGATTTTCTGTTCAGGAGTCTATATCGTCGGTTGAGTTCTTGTCTTTTGAGTCGTGTATGTGGGTTCCATATCAGTCTTCGGTCTAAGAGAAAGCCATATCAGATTTAAAACTTATAAATGCATCTCGCATTACGATGTGTTAAAACTGTTAGACGAATACGTCTAATACATAACGGTCATATTTTACAGCGAATTTTTGGTGTAATTGTAATTAATGGTAGATGGTATGCGAATAGATTGAGAACTAAGAATGCGATTTGGTTTGGAAGTCCCAAAAGAATTTACCCGATCTACTAATCCGAAAGAATCTATTTATTATTTGGCTATAGGATAATATATCATTCAATGGTGCTAATTATAAAGCTGTTGAGAACCTTTCCCTATCTTAACGGATCATGCCAACTAAAAAAATATGCTTAAAACTACTGAACATTATTTCTTAAAAGTATAATACCTTGTAACAGTGTTATTTCAAGAGGAATATCTGCTGGTCAATGTTTCTTGAAATGAAGTCTCTCTCTGAGTTAAAGTGGCTTTTCCCCTCCTTCCGAGGACAATATTTCCTAGATACGTTCCTTTACCAAATCATCAACAGCCATCGTCTTTCTTACTCCTACAACCTTCTCCAGTTCAAATCCTCAGTCCATTCCCTGTCCACAACATCTCGAAATTCTCACCTTTACATGCCTTCTCACAGATCTGACAAAACAATTAATATCCATTATTTTTTTCTATCAATTTTTTTTTTTTTTTTGTTCTTCCCTACCTCGCCTTTTAGCTATATGGGATTTTCCCGGGCCGGGGGATGAGGGCGGGGAATTTAAAATCCCCTCCGGCACCGGGATGCGAGCTCGTACTTTTTATATCATCTCAAATCTCTGTTATCCGGTTGCCAGGCAACTAGCGGTGCTGTTACACACGCTTTAGCCTATTCGGCCACCCCGCCCCCCTCACAGATCTGACTTATTCCAAAATTCCTTTATTGTTCGCTCTGTCAATTTCTGGAATTCCCTCTCTATCAAAATTCGACATTCCACATTCAAAACCCTCCCATTCCAATTTCTATCCCAAAAACAATCAGATAGTTGCTAACCATTCGAGCTGATTTTAATGGAGAATTTAATACATTTTTATTTTTTTTATTTTTTATTATTTTCATAAAAGTGTATACTGGTCTATCAGTGTAAATAGCTTCAAGTGTCTTTTCATAGTATTAATTGTTTTGTATATAGAATGTTTACCATATATTTTTTTTAAATTATTTCTTTTTTTCGATTGATTCTATTTTAGCCAGATGTAATCTTTTAATTTTGTTCTATTTTGTTATTCTCAAGGGACTGTGTCCCAGAATAAAGTTATTTTTCTATCTATCTATCAAAGGCTGCGGATATCAGAGGGTGCCTAATGTAATGGATATTAGAAAATTTTGCGATATGATATTTGACTTCCCTCTTTGTTGGTATACACCCAAACTCTCATTAAAATTTATATATATATATATATATATATATATATATATATATATATTAATTTATTGAGTATTACAACAATCTGTCACATGGACACTAGTTATAGTGAGGTAGGACAACATTCACACTATATGTACAAAAATATAAAATAAATAGAAGCAAAATAAAAATAAATAATAGCCAAAAAGTATATACAATAAATAAAATAAAATAACCTAAAAATAAGAAAATTAAAACTAAGCAAAAAACACATGCATACACTATTTGCAATGGTGCGAGGGAACTCGAGGAGAACCCTGCGCTACTCTCTCAACCGCCTCACTGATACTAAAGCCAGCGGAGATTGATCGAGAGCACGAAAATTAATATTAGAAGAATAGTTTCATTGAAGAAATTCGTTTTACCATCGCAATACTGTTCATGGGCTAGTTACATTTTAGTACACCCTAGTCCATGTCCGCAAGCACTTTTCAACTGAGATTTCTCTTTCCTCAATGAGTTGAAGAAAAAAAAAACTCCAATACCATATCATATTATATCTGTTTCATGCGACACTTTAGGGCGATAGCAATCCCGCGCACTGATTGGGTGTGTTTTTGATCAACAATGGCTCGTTTCAATTTCATGTCCAAAGTTTTGAGTCCAAAAAGCGACCAAAGTTTTGAGCATCATTGATGTCAAAATTTCCTGAATGAAATTTGGGAAACCAATTTTGACAGGTGCGTTCAGCTAATTCATCATCCCCATAAACACTACGAATTTTTTCTATGAGCTTCTGCAGCACGCTTACTTTTTTAAAAATAATACAACAAAATATGCCGATAATGACATTTTCTTCTATATTCACAGTGCAATAGAAAACACAATACTAAGCTAGTTTCAAGAAGAGTTGACGATATAGTTGTAGACATAATATACAAACACGATAAACGATAATCCAATGATTATTGGACACTTCATAAAAATAATTGTAAGTACAAACTATTTGAAACAAAAAATCTAATGTGCGCAACATACAGCTTCCATTTACCACTCTACTTTGAATAGAAATTATTTTCTGGCAATGTCTGGCTATTATAAAAATTTTAAATTGCATTTTTAACAAAGCTACAGCATATAGCTTAACAGCAAATAAATCATTAACACCATTTAAATAACTAAAACCCTATATTTATATGAACGTCGGGCAATAAAAACCTCGTTACTGCATTTGTTTTTGTAAACCACATAACTCCAATCTCTCTGAGCTATATACTCATATTCCTACGCGACCGCACATGGCAATAAAAAAAATTAGAACGCCAATCCCGACACACTCTGCTTTCTTGTGTATTTGCTCGTTTCTGAAAAGCAAAATAATTTAAAATCGTTGGGTTCATAAAAATTAAATTATATTATTTGTAAAAAATAGGACACTGACAGCGGGATTTGAATTGTATATTTCTTTGTATATACAACGAGATGTCCACAATCAAAGGGTTAATAGAAATTAAAAAAAATATATTTTAAGCTTATCCACTTTATTTATTAATTCACCAGATCAATTCACCAAGTGTATCATAGTGACAGAAAAAAAACAGAAAAACGAAAGGACTTATTTTGCAACCCAATAATTACGAGAAATTACTAAATCATTTGGTATATCGAACTTTTTTTATTTATATAATATTTACAACTGTATACAAAAAATACATCTGGTAAATTTGCACATGGATATAATGACATGAAACACTTGTTGAGAAAATACCCATTGGTAGCACTCTAATAATATGTCTATATTAGGAGATCACATGGCCATCTTCTTTTCAGACGCCGTGGAGGATTATCAGGAATTCAATAGGAAGCAAGGTTAGAAACAAGAGGATTGGGATGGTTATGAAGTTTATTATGGAAGGACAGATATCTGGATTAGGCCAAATCTGATACGTAAGGAACATATAGGTCATTATGGATGATTTTATTTGTTACAAAGTAAGGAGCATTGAGGATTTTACGAAGGATTTTGGATTGTAAGGATTGGATGCTAGAGGAATTTAAAGGTTTGGTGGAGCCCCATAGCTCAACTCCGTAAGTCCAAATAGGCCTTATTAGAGTCATGTAAATTAGTCTTTTATAATTAATTGGAAGGTTAGAGCGTTTGTCTAGTAAGTTTTGAAGTAGTCGGAAACGTCGAGCTGTTTCAGTTTGGTATGAGGATTCCAAGTTAGACGTTTGTCCAGATGGAGTCCTAGGTAACGGATTTGTTCAACAGGAATAAGTGAGATGTTGTTAAAGGATACTGAAGGACAGGAAGTCATTGGTTTACGATATATCGAACATATATGCTATTTCCTAAAATTATTTTCAAAAAGATTCCAAAAACATATGATTTCAAAACACTTCACTTACTGAATAATTTGAACCATCAAACTTTAAAATCGGTTCCGCCGTTTGATTTAAGCCTTTCAAAATATCGTAAAATACCGACAAACAGGTTCGCACTAAATCATAAACCTCCTGGTGGCTCCGCGCAGTCGGATGATAATAAACTGTTTCGTTTTGACTGTCGTGGTTTGAACCAAGATGAGATCTGAAAGAATAACAATGAGTTAGCAGAAAGAACCAATTGCTTAGACATGAGAGCCCATCTTACCAGGAATATACACACGGTAAATCTAAACCCAATTCAAAAATGTTTACCTCAAACACAAACAGTCATAAATCTAATCCAAACTAATTTTATCGTATGTAATTATAAGAATGAGAAATGTATTATTGCAAATATTTTCTAATGACGTCGGTTTGCATAGTAAGAGATAAACATTACCTAATGAAATTGTGAAAACTGCCGGCGAATTGTTCTCGCGGATTCACAAACAAGCCGATGTTTACAAAAAGTTATTTTACTGTTGCAATAGATATATAAGAGAAGGAGAAAAGGTTTTAGATTCTAACATATCGAGCAGGGGACCTTCAGTATTGTGGAGTCTTCCGAACAGCCAGCATGGGAAAGGGACAGCTAAAACAATACGTCGTATGTTTCATCAGTAAGTAGATTTAAACAGTTCTCTTCAGATATAAGCATTTTTGTTTGTGATATTAGACTAAGTACAAAGAGTGAGTGTTTTAAAAGTACAACTGTATTGAACCAGTTGGATATGCGTACAAGGCGCACAGTGAGGCAAAACTAAGCGACTTCGACTAAAATATAAAACTTTTAAAATGACTTTCGAACATGCACAAATATAGTCTTCAGGTATTCAGATATACGATCATCTATTTTAAAAGACCTATTACAGTAACATTTTAATAAATCTGTTGAGGTCCTTAAAGTATAAAGTGCAATATTAGTAGTGTTGCTCAAAATCGGTCTTGGTCTTGCACTTTGCTGGACCAGGACCAAGGTCGCCTAACTGTTGCAAGATCAAGATCAGGACTGGTAAACAAAATCGATTATTTAAAATAAAAATTAAGGTAACATAGTTACTAATACAATTATAGTTACTATATGTTAATAATTGATATAACCAATATACTTTTGCATTTAACTCCTCTAATTTTTCATTCGGGCTTAGTTGTCTTTCTCCAATCTAAAAAAATACAGTAATATCTCTATAGTAATAAACTAATAAGTAACTGCAAGACTGTTGCAATACTCTTGCACAAGACCAAGACCATGACCAAGACTGAGTTTGCAAGACCAAGACCCATCTCGGTCCCGCATTTGGGCAAAACTAAATATTAGATATTTTTAAAATCTTTCGCTATTCAATATAATACTATTTATCTTGTTTTTGAAATATTTAATAATAAGTACATTGTATTTGGAATATTTGAAAACAAAAACGAAAGAAATACGGAAAAAACAGTCTTCTTTTTTATTAAGTCTTCACTTTATTTATTTGCAAATGTAAAATTATCACACTGAGAGATTTTAAGAAATTAAACAGTTACAAAAATTATTGAAAAAAAAAATGATCTAAAAATATGTGGTAAGGTATATAATTTCAAGAAAAAGTCGTCTCAACTCGGCTTAGAAGTTATAGTTATATTTGAATATAACTATTAATTTATTTGTAAAAAATATAACATTCGTTTTTGCTTTTAGTTATATTAAATATATAGTGTTAATATGAAAATGTGTAATTATTATGGAAATGTACGTAATTAGAAAAAACTGCTTGTATTTTGTTTTTTATTAAAACAACATAATATATCATAAAAATGTCATTTTTTTAAAAACTCATTTACCATTTAATAAATAATTTTTTTTCTAAAACTTTTTTTTATTTTTTTTTTATTTAGAAAAAAATACATTTTACCTCAATTAAGGGAATTGAGTATTTAGGATAAATGAAATACAAACATACCATATATACAATAAAAGAAAAACAAGATTATAAAAAAATAAAATAAAACTTGGACTAACAGAATAAATCGATCATGTTTTCTAAAAATAAATATCTTTCAGTAAAAACATTATGAAACCTTTAAAAGAAATAATGATCCGTAAAATTATTAAATCACTTAAATTTTACGAAATCTAAGGATGAAGAATCGAAGGTGTAAATTTCATTCTATAAATCTACTTTCAGTTTTTCTTTTAATGTAGAAATAGAAATTGACTAAATATACGCACAAGATCTAATATTTTATTTTGTAGATAGGTATAGTATTTTTATTTCTATCGATTTTTAAAAAATACTGCGTTTGCACGAGATTTTGATTATTTTTTTATTGTTTGATTTAGGTTAGGACAAGATTTAAAAAAAAAAATTAATAAAATATTCACGTTACTCCAACCACTTTTCGTTTCAATTATTTTTATTTTTCAATTGGTGGCCCAATTAATAATATCATAAAGATTGTCCAATATCACTATATGATAAAAATGCATCGGATTCATTAAACTTTTACATTTCTTTTTATTTTAAATTAATGCTAGGATTCTATTAAGATAAAAAAAAACAACACATTTAACCTAAATTTATTCAAGACATTTTTTATTACAATTTAATCATTATTATTTATATTAAACTGTATCACACTCAGTGATTGATCATTATTTTTAATCTAATCAATAAATATTAATAATAGATTTAATATCTTATCCGCTAAGTTCCAAGTTCGCTATGACTTTTATTATTATCATTAGTATATTCTTTATTAAGATTAGTGAATAAGATATGAGCATACAATAAAATAATACTAAATAATAACATAATAAAAAAAAATAATATTAGGTGCCTTGAACCGGGTTCTTATTGACAAACGTAGTCGGTAAATAGAACTTGATCACCAGAAAGAAATTTAATATATATATATATATATATATATATATATATATAATTTAAACTAACGAGGAATGCTAGAAAAAAACATTATAAACTAAAACTTATCTCCTGCCTATTATTTACATTATTCATACTTTCCTATGTCTACGTGTTTATATATAAACATTATATATATATATATATATATATATATATATATATATATATATATATATATATATATATTAATATCAAGAGACAATAGTGTTATAGATATATGTATATATTTATTTATTTAGAAATTTAATTTAATTCAGCTATATACTCCATCCTCCTCTTTGAATCCACTATTGTCTTTTGATATTTGTTTATGGTTTTATTCGCCCTAAGCTTCGAACAGGAAAAATAAGATCTAACATACGTAAAAAGAAAAAAAAAATATTAGAAACAGCTCAACAAGCCATCCAAACACACACTGATGAGAACGGAGGTTGAATTAATAAAATGGAGGAAGGTTATATTAAACAGCTGATTAGAAGAGGTGAGAAGAAAAAAATGCACATCCTAAAAAACTCTAAAATGTAATAATATTAAAATTTGTTAAATAAAAAATTAATAAATACAAAATAAAATGTTTCAAGGAGAGAGAGAAATACTTTATTAAAATTATATTCCATATATTCCATATATTAATTATATACCATATTCCATATATTTTCATTAATTGTAACAAAATATTATTAATATGACATAATTTTCTCGTAGGCCAGTTATCGGTGATGGTGGTGGGCGTGGCCTATTGCTGGTTCGAGCCAATCACGATCCGGCTCGCAGAGGACGCCAACTTGGACTTGAGTACTGAAGATGTATCCTGGTTAATCGCCATAATGGAGATCGGATGTTTGATCAGTCCACTAGTAGCCGGTGAAGTGACTAATAAGTAAGAAAACGAGCAATTTATGTATAGCAAGTATATCCGAGCGAGAACTCCCATATATACAAATATTAGATATATCTACATATCTAGATATACATACATGGTACATAGCTACATTAATATGCCTTCCCAATGCTTCCCAATTATAATTACCACCAGCGAATCGGGTATATGCAACACACACAAGCTGCAGCTAAAGCTTAATAATTTACCATGATTGTTAAAATAACAATTTATTCGATAAGTGATTAGCTTTTCCCACTAGAAAATATATCTCTAGTTGAATACAGAACTGGAGCTGGGGCCAAAAAAGCTGTAGTGTTTTAAGAAAATTTCCAACTTTACAGGCTTATAGTAAGTACTATTTTTAGGTATTACGAAAATGCTCGTCTGTCAGCTTATACAGCTCGATTTAAGGTTCGAGGGGCATTTGAACCTATCAATAAGTTCAAAATTTAGAGAAATGTTAAAGGCAATTTTATCTTAGTCGCGTTATGATTCAATTCTTTTTTGTTGGCACTACATACCATGTACATCTTATGCCGCCTTAACAAGAATACTCCATCTCTTCCTGTCATGGGCTATTTCTTTCCATTTATCTGCAAGCAGCTCTGTTGTATCTTTGTTGATTCTATCTATTCATCCGATTTTTGGACTTACAAGCGGTCTTTTGCCTTCTGTTGATACATTCATTGTTACATAGAGGCTTCTAGATAGAATTCTACGAGCTACATGCCCCGCCCTTCTTGAACTCCGTGTCTAGATGTTATGGGATATTGGTTGACCAGTTTCTGTAAGCAGTTCTTTATTAGTCCTTATTGAGGTATGGAATAAAATATCTCAGAAACTAAATTTCAGATCTGAATGCTGAAAGTGAGGGAAATATATAAAGCCTATCATCCTCTTTGTAATAGTATATTTATTAAAATTGTATCTTAACGTGACCAAGAGAAATTTTTTTTTAAAACGGCCTAAATTTCGAAATTTTTGATGGATTCAAAGCCCTCTAAAATCTTAAATCGACCTGTCTGAGATGGCAGACAAGAATCTTCGCAATACCTAACAGAAGTTTCGGCTCTGGCTCCAGATCAAATAGATAAGCAATATACCAATCCATCTTTCTATTCGCTGAAGACTTGTATTTCTCTCTTAATCAAAGTATTGAAGTCTATTTTTGATAATATAGAAGCCATATCTGGATACTTTAATTATTTATAAAAAATATCGAGAAGCTTCTTTCTATACAATAAGAAGAGCCTGAAAGATTCTAAAGCCATTCTAATCTATTAAAGTACCTTTTTAATAAGGTTTTTGTCTGTCGAAGACTATCATCAGTGGTAATATATTAGCGTTTAAAAACTAAAATGGTGAAAAGTATCATGAAAACGATAGCATCAACAACTAAGGGTTTTACGAAGGATTTTGGATTGTAGGGATTGGATACGAGAGGAATTTGATGGTTTAGTAGAGCCCCAAAGCTCGATCCCGTAAGTCCAAATAGGCCTTATTATAGTAATGTATATGAGTCTTTTGTAAATAGTTGGCAGTTTAGAGCGTTTGTCTAGTAAGTGCTGGAGTAGTCGGAAACGTCGGGCGGTTTCTAGTCGTTTCAGTCTGGTACGGGGGTTCCAAGTGAGTCGTTTGTCAAGGTGGAGTCCTAGGTATCGGATTTGGTCAACAGGAATAAGTGGGGTATTCTTAAAGGATACTGTAGGACAGGAAGTCATAGGTTTACGACGAAGAGTAAAGGTAATTTGATGGAATTTATTGGAGTTTATTTTAATAACTAAGGGTTAACTCGTAAACAGTACATTTTAGGATTATTCGTGCGTTTTGTTCACAAAACATTATTTATACCTTCTCGATCACTTAACTGTTGGAACCATTAAAGTTTTGAAATTTAGAACCGCGTCGTAACCCAGTTTGAGAACCACTTTTCTAATTATGTTCGAACTGCCAGAACAGCAGTTCCAGGAGAAACCAAAATTTCATCTAAGTCAAAAACACATTTAAAGCAATCATCTTTATTGTATCGCACAGGATATTTTAAATTTTGTTTTCCTTTTTCTATAGTCCCTTGCAACAGAAGTCTTCCCGAATTAATAACTCATGGAACTCAATATGGTGAAAACGTGACATTCTCGAAAATGTTGATGGTACAGCAAACATCATGCTACATTCTTATAAGAATCTTTGGGGCAGAGACAAAACAATCAAATAATATAAAGGTTTATTAAAAAAGTTCTATGTTATTATATTATAACTTAATTGTTATTGTCTTAGGCTTGGTCGAAAGTATGTCATCATGAGTATCGGTCCACTCTGCCTAGCAGGATGGATTTTAGTCCTCTTCTCCAAGACAATGCTGTCCCTGGCGATCGTCCGGATACTCCACGGATTGGCGACCGGAGTCGCCTTCACCATCACGCCGATCTACACAGCTGAAGTTGCTGAACCCAAATTACGAGGAAGGCTAACAGGAACATTCCAGACAACCTGGTACATGGGAACACTCTACGCCTTCTCTTTCGGCCCATACTTCGACTATGATGTGTACACTTATATCTGCATTCCTGTTCCGATCATATTTACAATTGTATGGATGTTGATGCCCGAGACTCCTTACTACCTTCTAATGTCACAACGAGAAGAAGAAGCAAGAAAAGTTCTAAAGTCTTTTAGGGATGGTGATGTCGACAAAGAACTCGAGGACATGCATTCAGCAGTAAAAGAAGAGATGTCTGTCGAGGGATCTTGGAAGATACTCTTCACCGACAAGACCGAGAGGAAGGCTTTCATAATTGTGCAAATCGTGTCAATCACCAAATTCCTTACCGGAATGCCAGTAATTGTGAACTACGCTTTGGACACGTTCACCAGGAGTGAAACATTCGTCTCAGCTGAAGAAATGTCCATTATACTTGCTGTACTCCTCACTTTGATCGCTGTGATCTCCGCCTTCATGTCCGACTGGATTGGCCGAAAACCATTGTTGCTGGTGTCTTGCTTCGGTTGCTTCGTTGCTCACTTCCTCACTGGTGGATACTACTACATCCACGAGAAGACTTCCCTCGACGGCGCGAATTACACATGGGCGCTGTACCTCGGATTGGTAATGTACTGCTTCTTCTCCGACATCGGACTAGGACCACTACTGCAAACTCTTCAATCCGAAATGTTCGGGGCAAGTACTCGAGGAGTCGCAGGTGGTATCACAGAAGGTTTTGCAGCTTTCTTGTGCTTCGTAGTACTCAAGCTCTACACCCCTGTCAATGAGATGTTTGGCGTTTACCTGAACTTCTGGTTCTACAGTTTGACCGGTCTAGTAGGGGGGATTCTCTTGTTCTGGCTTATGTACGAGACTGCAGGAAAGACGATCGGTCAGATGGAGGATAAACCAAAGAAAAAAGTCATGGCTTGAATGGAAATACGAAGAACTCTTTTTTACCACTGAAAATTGCTCATATTTTATTTTTTTATTTATTCCAAAGATAATATACAAATTTTTATATATATGTATTTCTTTTAATATGTCCCTTCTCATATTACTAACACAGTGGTGAATAATGATCACGGTAATTTTTAATGAATAATAATTAAAAATAAAGTCATATTATTGTTGAATTCATATTGATATTAAAATATGCTATTGATAAAATATTTTCTACTAATGTACTCATCGTCTTAAATAATATAACATATTATATAACTACTGAACCGTAAGGGCTATAGATTATCGACCTATTAGATGTTTAGAATGTTTCTAATTAAAATATAATCGAAAATCTCATAGAATTGAATATGGCTATAACATGGTAGAAATCACAAATCTTCCTGTAAATTTATGATTAAACGGGTTATTTTAAAATTAATAGTTGTTTCTAGCATCGATTTTTTACCAAATTATGTTTGTATAATTATGCTTAAAAAAAAAATCTAATTAAATCCTCTAGGATCCCACTACCATTGTTTTTCGTGGACTTGGAGCCATCACCAGGTATCGAAAAAATATATGATATCACAAGAATATACTACACAATGGTGAAAGTTGAGAAGCCATATCCCAAGAGAGACATCGTGCAGTGCCATAATTGTCAGACCTATGGCCACACGAAGACATATTGCCACCATTTGCCGCGTTGCGTGAAGTGCGGTGAACAGCACAAATCTGTAGAGTGCACCAAACCTATACAAGACCCAGCAGTATGTGCCCTATGCTTGGAGGGACACCCGGCCAACTACAAAGGCTGCCAAATTTACAAGAATCTCAAAACCAGACACCAGAAAAACCGGATTCAAGATGAAGCACTAAGAACAAGAAGAGAGAGAGAGCCTTCCAGATTTGTAAACAATGATGTATCATTCTCCCAACTACTTAGAGGTAAGACTTTAACCGATAAATGTCAAGCCCTGCCACAACAACAACCTCAAACCCAACCTCAAAATCCTCTTCATCCTAATATACCTAACCACCAACAAAAAATTCCTCATATTCCTCCTCCTTCAAATGCAACAGATCTCACAAGTTTGTTAGCATCTTTCCTCACCGATTTCAAATCCCTTGTTACTCCACTCATATCACTCCTCACGAATCTCGTATCTCACCTCATCCCTCCTTCGAAAAATCCTTAAATGACTCACATCCCTAAACCCATATCCATTCTCCTTTGGAATGCGAATGGTGTTAGAAATCATACAGACGAACTATCTACTTTACTACTTGACAAGAACATTGATGTGGCACTAATTACTGAAACTCGACTAACCACTAAACAGCACTTCAATATACCACAATACCTGACATATCGTACTGACCACCCTGACGGAAAAGCACATGCCGGTACTGCTGTAATTGTACACCAATCCCTCTCCCATCACGTACTCCCATTACCAATACATGATTTCCTACAGTCCACCGCTATCGTGATAAAAACCTTCTCCTTTCCGGTCACTCTTGCATCAGCGTATTGCCCTCCTAACCGATCCATATCCAATGCCCAATTCAGTTCTCTCCTCGACTCCCGATGACCTTGATAGTGCCGTAAATTCCTTTACTACCACAATCCAACAAGCCGCCTGGACTGCCTCCTTTCCAAAAGACTCCTCCAGAATTCCTATAAAGACCATTCTACCCCAACACCTCCTTAACCTAATCCGCACCAAACGCCGTGCCAGATTATTATGGCAACGTACCCGACATCCTACCGACCGCTGCTCCTATAATTACTACTGCAAACAATTAAAACTGGAATTAGCCACCTTCAGATCACAATCCTTCAACTCCTACCTATCCTCCCTCTCTTCTCGCGACAATTCCCTTTGGAAAACCACAACAAAAATCCTAAATCCTCACCGCATTTCCCATCCTCTCCGACGAGGTGATGGCTCCTGGGCAGCATCTGACGAAGATAAAGCTGAGGAGTTCGCCATTCACCTATCCAATACATTTATTTCACATCCGGAATCCCATCCTGCCCACACCGTAACAGTAGAAGAACTCCTCACATCACCAATCCCACTTTCCTTGCCCCCAAAAGCTATTCATCCTTCCGAAGTAAAATTTCAATTAAAAAAACTAATCCTCCGTAAAGCTCCTGGACATGATCTCCTTACACCTCAAATCCTTCGACAACTTCCATCCAAAGCAGTCATATTCCTTACATATATCTACAATTGTATCCTACGCACCACCCACTTCCCTCTGTTATGGAAACACTCCACTATTATCCTTTTCCCAAAACCAGGAAAACCTCTCAATAGCTCAACATCCTATAGACCAATCAGCCTACTCCCAATCCTTTCAAAAATTTTTGAAAAGATCCTTTTGAAACGAATCCTACCCATTATAGAATCCCAAAATATCCCTTCCCATCAGTTTGGTTTTCGCTCTCAACATTCTACTGTTCAACAAGGACTCCGAGTTGTTGATCATATTTCCTCAGCCCTAGAAAACAAGGAATACTGTTCGGGTGCCTTTCTGGACATTGCACAGGCATTTGACCGGGTATGGCACTCCGGACTGCTCTCCAAGCTTAAAATCCATTTACCTCAGTCCTTGTACCTAGTCCTCCGATCCTACCTCTCTGCCGCTCCTTTCGAGTTCGCTGTGGAACAGAATTTTCCAATATCTACTCCGTTAAAGCCGGTGTTCCCCAAGGCAGCGTCTTGGGTCCCGTGCTTTACATCCTCTTTACTGCTGACATCCCTGTTCATCCCGATACTTTTCTTGCAACATTCGCTGACGACACCGCAATCTTATCATCCAACTCTGATCCCGAAATAGCATCCTTAAATCTCCAAAGTCACCTCACCTTGATTGAGCACTGGTGTAATAACTGGCGCATTAAAGTTAATGAATCTAAATGCCAACATATTACCTTTACACTCCGACGCAATTCCTGTCCACCAGTACTCTTTAATTCCATCCAGCTTCCTTATTCAGACACAGTCCGGTATCTTGGCTTTCATTTAGACCGAAGACTAACTTGGAACCCGCATACTAGACTCAAAAGACAAGAACTAAACCGACGATACGGCCAACTATACCGACTACTAAGCAGAAAATCTAAACTTTCTATTGAAAACAAGCTACTGATCTACAAGACAATACTGAAACCTATTTGGACTTACGGACTAGAACTGTGGGGATCAGCAAAATTTTCTAACATCAAGCGCATCCAATCCTTCCAGTCTAAAGTCCTTCGAACAATAGTCGATGCTCCTTTCTATGTATCCAACAAAACCCTACATCATGACCTTAACATCCCATTTGTCCTAGACCTTATCCCAGAAAAATTCTCCAAATTTCACCAGAACCTTACTTACCACCCAAATCCTCTTGCACAATCCCTATCAAGCATCTCCCATCCCTATAATCCTCCAAGAAGGTTGAAACGGCAGTGGCCTCGCGACCTTTTGATTGTATAAATTGGAGTTCTGGCAATGGCCAGATTCTTCACTCAAGACATGTGTGTATGTGGCTAAAGTGCTCTCGACCAATCTCCGCTGGCTTTAGTACCAGTGACGCGGTTGGGAGAGTAGCGCAGGGTTCTCCTGGAGTTCCCTCGCCTGATTGTATATAGGTATGCATGTGTTTTTTTTTGTTTTTTTTTCTTAGTTTTAATTTTCTTATTTTTTAGGTTATTTTATTTTATTGTCTATTGTATATACTTTTGATTATTATTTTGTTCTATTTATTTTATTTTTTTTTGTACATATGGTGTGAATGTCATCTTACCTCACTATAACCAATGTCCAACAGACAGATTGTTATAATACTCAATAAAGAAATTTAAAAAAAAAAAAAAAAAAAAAAATTAAATCCTCATTTTTTTTTTTTGCATAGTTACCAAGAATTTAGTTCCCTGAATAATTTAGAGAATGTCGCATGCTTCAAATTTCTAGTACTGTGGTAGTGACCATATTCATTTATTTTTCGAACAGCATTTCGAAAGAAATTCAATTTTAATTTTAGATGTTCGTAGGATTCTTAGGGTTCGTTCAATAAATAACCTAAAAAAATAAAATAAAATTAGTCTGCATTCAATACCCGAACTTTAGAAAAAAATAGATAATGAAATATTCCATCGAAAAAAATACGTAAAAAATTGATAAAGACAAATTTAAATGAATATCGTAAAATATTCAATTAAAAAAGAAAATACAATGAAACTAATCTGTGGTGTGTATCGGTTATACTAATTTACAATTTAATAACATTTAATTAAACCTAACTGTACAGGTAGTTTTACAAGCTTGTTGTAACATGTGTTAACTCCCTAAAACTTGCAGTTGGGCACTACAAATTACTAAAAACTTCCCAAACGTCAGCCAGGTAGGCCCAGAAATGTTCTATTATTTTTTCTATTGTTTGTTTAGTTCCTAAATTCTTTAATTATTTACAAACAGTTTAATATTAATCATTAAACAGTTTAATATTATGGTCTCCTACAGTTTAAACCTGTGGTCCACTCCCAGAAAACAAAATCCCGTGTTTCCGACCTTTATATCCCTTCCCAAAGAACTAAGACGTTTGAATATTCCTTTATTGCCCGATCCACTGCCTTCTGGAATTCCTAGCCATCTGATATCCGCCATGCCTCTTCCTTGTCCTCATTTAAATATCATCTTTACCAATTCCTTCTCACATCCCGAAATGACGTTATACAATGAAATAAATATTGAGAAACAGATTTTGACTGAGGTGAATGGTTGATAAAATTGATTGAGTTTTGATTTTAAAAATTCTCGCAGGTCAAAGAACTGATCGAAAATAATAGTGACAAATATCCCTTAGATTTTGATACATTCTGTATTTTCGTAGAAATGGCGAAAAATGAAAGCAATCCTATAAACACTATTAAACTATTCACTCCTAATGCCCATGACGTACTGGATATGGTAACAGATATACATAAAAAAGTTAATGGACGCACAGTTAAAACAAGATACACAAAATTTCTGAATAAAATTAAAAAAGGTCTAGAAGAAAAACCATATGTTTAAAAACAGCCTT